AGTAGAATTCAACAACATATCAGAAAGATTATCCACCCATACCCAGTGGGATTTATTCTTGGTATGCAGGGATGGTTCAATGTTCAAAAATCAATCAATGTGATATCCACATTAACAAACTGCAGAGGAAAACCATATTATTATCCCAATAGATGCAGAGAAAGCATTTGATAAAATACAACACTCTTTTATGATGAAAATTCTAAACAAATTGTGTATAGAAGGAACATTCCTCAACACAATCAAAGCAATTTATGAAGAACTCACGGCCAGCATGAAAAATGTTCAAGATCATTAGCCATCACGGAAATGCAAATCCAAACCACAATGAGGATTTACCTCACCCTGTTAGAATGGCTTACATACAGAAATCAACTAACAACAGATGCTGGTGAGGATTTGTGGGAAAAGGCACACTAATCCACTCTTGCTGTGAATTCAAATTGGTAGAGTCACTATAGAAGACAGTTTGGAGTCTTCTCAGAAACCAGAATATAGCCATACCACATGACCCAGCCATCACACTCCTCAACATTAACACAAGTGAAATTAAATTGGCAAATAAAAGAGCTATCTGGACCTCAATGTTTATTGCAGCTAAATTCACAATAGCTAAGACATGGAATGTGCCTAAATGCCAATCGATGGAAGACTGGATAAAGAAACTATGGATATGTATTCTATAGAATTGTACACAATAGTAAAAAAAAATGAAATGCAGTCATTTGCAACAAAACAGAGGAATCTGGAAAAATCATGCTGAGTAAAATAAACCAGTCCCAAAGGGACAAATATCATATGCTCTCCCTGATCTGTGACAACTAACTGATCACCTAAATGGAAACCTGTAGAAGTGAAACTGACACTATGATAAGCAATGACTTGATCTACACTTGTTCTGACTTTCAAGGAACAGCTTACTATTTTATTCCTCTTAGTATTTTTTTTTCTATTCAATGCATTCTTTGAACTCTTTAATTAACACAGAAATTTTCTTAGGGGTATAAATCCAACTGTAGTGATATCCCTGTTAAAAATAGGGGTGGAGTAAGAGAGATAGGAGATGTACATATTGCCATATGCACCCTTGGATTTACCCCTAATGGTAAATCTAAAAAGGTGCCATGGGGCTCCAAATCCATTAAGTTGGCAGATACCAATGCCATCTTACTAGGTAAATTGATCAGTTGAAGTTCATAACTGATCATAAAGGTAGGATTAAGTGTCAAAGGAATCACATAAACAAGTCCAGTGTCTGGTAATAATAACTGATAGAATTAAAAAGGAGAGAACGATCCCAACATGGGAACAGGATACACAGCAGACTCATATGCCCTTAACAGTACTTTGGCCTCAGAATCAGCCCTTAAGGCATTTGGATTTGGCTGAAAATTCCATGATTGCAACAGAGGCATGGAAATCCAAGGTACTGTGGTAAAAAAAAGGCCTAAATGAAGGATCTCTGTGAGTGAGATCCATTGAAAGAAGCAGCCAACAAAGAAGGAAGTACCTTTTTATGAAGGGAGGAGAGAACTTCCACTTCGATTATGACCTTGTCTAAATAGGTTAGGTGAGAGTTTGTGAACTCAAGAGGCTTCCATAGCCATGGAAGCTCATGACAAGAGCCTCAGATGATTACTGATGTCATAAATAAGTGTGTCAATTGCTAAATCCACAACAGGAGTCACTGTGAACTTGCACCCCTTGTAGGACCTCTGTCTTTAATGTGTTATACTTTGAGAATTATCGCTAAAACGAATCTTCAAAATTTACTTTACAAAAAAAAAAACACTTTACTTTATAGTTTGTGTGTCTGTGTGGGTGCAAACTGTTGAAATTTTACTTAGTATAGAGTTGATCTTCTGTATAGAAACATAATTACAAATGAATCTTAATGATGAATAGGATGAGAGAGGGAGTAAGAGATGGGATGGTTTGTGGGAGGGTGGGTGGTTATGGGAGGAAGAATGTAATACTTTATCCATTTTAGTATTTTTTTTTGTTCTAGTACTATTGGTTGAACTCTGTAATTAACACACAATTATTCTTAGGTGTTTAAATTTTAAGTGAAAAGTGATCCCTGTTAGGAATCTGGAAAGCATTATGCTGAGTGAAATAAGCAAGTCCCAAAGGGACAAATACCATAGGTTCTCCCTGATCCGAGACAACTAACTGAGCACCAAAAAGGAAACCTGTTAAAGTGAAATGAACACAATGAAAAATGATGGCTTGATCAGCCCTTGCCCTGACTGTTGATGAACAAATTAATACGTTATCCCTCTTAGTATTTTTTGTTTGTTCTACTTAATACTTTTTGTTGAATAATGTAATCAATACACAGTTATTCTTAAGTGTTTAAACTTAACTGAAAAGTGATCGCTGTTAAATATGAGTGGGAATAAGAGAGGGAAGAGATGTGCAATTCGGGACATGCTCAAGCTGACTTACCTGAAACGGTAGAGTTAGAAACATACCAGGGGATTCCAATTCAATCCCATCAAGGTGGCATGTACCAATGACATCTCACTAGTCCCTCTGATCAATTTCTGTTCACAATTGATCAGAATGATAGGACTAAGAGCCAAAGGGAGCACACAAAGAACACTGGTGTCTGCAAATACTAGCTGATCGAATAAAAAAGGAAAGAATGATCCAACATGGGAAGTGAGATACACAGCAGACCCATAGAATGGCAGATGTCCTAACAGCACTCTGGCCTCAGAATCAGCCCTTAAGGCACACAGATCTGGATGAAAAGCCCATGAGAGTATTATAGGCTTGGAAAGCCAAAACACTCTGGCAAAAAAAAATAGGGACCTAAATGAAAGATCTCCATGAGTGAGATCACAGTGAACAGAACGGGTCATCAATGAAGGAGGTACCTTTCTCTGAAGGGAGGAGAGAACTTCTACTTTGACTACAACCTTGTCTAAATAAGATAAGAGTCAGTGAACTCAAAAGGCTTCCATAGCCTTGCCGACTCATGACAAGAGCCTAGGGTGATTACTGATGCCATAAACAAGAGTGTCAATTTGTTAAGTCAACAACAGGAGTCACTGTGCACTTACTCCTCATGTAGGATCTCTGTCCTTAATGTGCTGTACATTGTGATTTAATGCTGTAACTAGTACTCAAACAGTATTTTTCACCTTGTGTTTCTATATGGGTGCAAACTGTTGAAATCTTTACTTCATATATGCTAAACTGATCTTCTGTATATAAAGAGAATTGAAAATGAATCTTGATGTGAATGGAAGGGGGGAGGGAGAGGCAAAGGGGAGGGTTGTGGGTGGGAGGGAAGTTATGGGGGGGAGCCATTGTAATCCATAAGCTATACTTTGGAAATTTGTATTCATTAAATAAAAGTTAAAAAAAATGCACAATTGTTTCATAACATACATTTTCCATGAATTTTTGAAGACTTCTCATTGCATGGAGTGCATCCTTTCCATTCCTAATCTTTTTTAGTGAATCATTTGCATTCAGATTGACTCTACTTTTAGTTTCTACACATTAGAGAGAACAGGAGATATTTGCTCTCTGATTTAGATTTACTTTTCTTGTTAACTGAACAGACTACAAGTTTCATCATTGTACTGGTAATAAATCAAACTCATCAAGACAATGAACTTTCATTTTTATGTAAGTCAGTGAATTCTGTGTGTGTTGTGGCTATACTTCATCTCAATTTGTATGAGCCTCTATTAAAAACCTCACTAGTAGCATCAGAGCAGTGAGTACCCAATGGAAAATGTGTTTTGCTTAAAATACTAGGCATCTCATTTATAGCAGTATGAGTTTAGAAAACTTCTGAGTGGAATACTAGAGTTCTCTTATTGCCCTCTTGTCCCATCCTTATTAGATTTACTTCATTAGCAATACATCACACTGATATGCAAGCACAAATGATTAGTCAGTGTTGATCATCACTATTACCTACAGGACATACTATCCATTGTGTTCACTCTCGTGTTGTGTAGTATGTGGGTTTTGCAAAAGATTAAAGGTATGTAGCTGCCCTGTCCATCATAATAGTTCTGAAAGTCACTTGCATTCAAGCAGTACAGTTGTCTACAGCCATCACCCTGCCCTTGGTGTTTGTGGTGGTGGGAATAAAGAGGTGACTTCTGGCTGCTGTTGTCTGTCTTATGGTAAAAAGCAAAGAGTACTCAAATAGTTACTAGTTCTCATGAGAGCATCAACCAAGGTTGAAGGTGCAAAAACAGATCCACATGAGATGACCGTGGTTAACACTAGTGGAAGGGTTTCTTGTTTTACACCTGAAGATGTGGTGATTTGACATACAGAATAGGAACTTCTGAATTCAGGGTGATTACTGGTTCCACAGTGATTGAAAACCACATGTCCTAGTGGGTATCTCTCTACACATGATTTGTTTGGGGTCTATGTGGCATCAAGACCATATGTGCCTGCCCAAAAATGCAGTGTGGGAGGCTGCCCTGTGGCTCTTTATCTTTAAAGTGTGTGACACAGGAGTTTTCTGGTCTGAAACCTTTATGAGAACCTTGCCTGATGCTGCCCTTCATGCCATCTGATGTAATCCAGGTACATAATTGCCAAAAGTTCATGGTGAGGTTTATTGACAAAGCCCATTGACCAAATGTAACTGAGAGGAGTTTCTCCCTTGAGTCTTTTTATCCATGAACTTGGAGGAAATCCTGGCACCTGGGGTGAAGAGGATGAATCACAAACATGTTTTCTTTCCTGTATTTTGCACCTGGCAGAAGACCTGAGCTGCAAAGCCTGAGGGCAGAAAGGGTTTACGATTCCCCCATAGACAAATGGACAGCTGGTGGAAAAAGTCAGATGGAGCAGTATTAAAGTGGCTTGATTCAAGGAATCACACACACACACACACACACACACACGCTATATGTATGCACCTGCATAACCCTGCACGTTCCACTGTGGTTGTGTCCTAGGGTTTTTCCCAGACTCTGAAAATGTTTCCTTGGATTTTTCTGTTGCTTTTTCTGCAGCTATATCTCCTTGTGATTTGTCAGGATGGTCCCAAGTGCTATTCCAAGATTGAACGGAGTTTTTACAAGGATGGAGACATTGAGATTGCTTCCTTTTTCCCCATTTACATACACCTCGTTAACAGAATCATGAATATTTTCCAAAGCGATCTCACATTCATCCGGTAAGTTCCCTTTGCCATAATCATTTTCCCTTGATTTACATAATAGCTACTTGTTATTGGGTCTGCAGACCCAATAGACATATGTGGTTTCCTACTCTTTGCATTCTCTGTCTCTCCTAAAAAGTGCTGATAATTAATTTGGAGCATGAGGTGACATTTTCTTTCTTGTGTTCATGCATGGTTCAGGGAAAGGTTTTCTAATCGTAGGAAGGAGGAGAGTCAGGTTGGGATCTTCCTGTGCTTCCCTGTCCATGTTCACCTACTCAGGTGCCTGTTGTGCCTCAGTATTAGATTCTTACGGAACCCATGCACTGTAATGAATGAACTGAGTTACATGAGCTCTTCCACATGTGCACACAATCTTTTCTACTATGTACTAGATTTGGGGCCATGAGAACACTTCATGTCTTCTACATTGTAAAGAAGAAAAGATATTCAAGAGAGTAAGTTTTCACTAGTTAAAAGCAATCTTGGCTCAACACCTTTGCACAAATATAATAATTATATTTTAATGATGAACATAAGAAATTTAATGTTTTTAATCTACAACCCTCATGATGTGTCCCTGATTCTTTCCTTTTCTGGGAAAAATACATTTCAGAAGGGGGATTATTCTGCTTCCACCCCTCTTTAAGATACATTTTTAGAGCTAAATATAAATGTTTTATATATATATACATAATATACATATATAAAACATTTATATTCATATATAAATAATATTTATATATCAATAATATATATTGATATATAAATATATATAATTATTTATTTATATTTATTTTATATAAATAAATATATTTTATATAAATAAAATATATTTTATATAAATAAATATATTTATTTATTTATATATATTTATATATAATATATATATATATAAAGCGACTCCAGTCCACCCAGGGAGTGTTTCCAGCTTCTCCAAAGTGCTCCTCCCTTTTCACTGTTTCCCTTCTTTCAAGCTCTGAATCTGATTTCATTTTTCTGGCTTGGGATGGTCCTTGATCGGTACATTTGATGGGGAAGAGATTTTTCTCGATAAACTCCAAGATTCCATCTACCATTCTCCATGCTTTGATGTCATCCAAATTTCTGATCACATAGCCTTCAGCTGAGTTATTCTCTTTTCCCATTGCATCCTGCAGCCTTGTGATCATATGACTCTTATTTCAAGAAGTATTTGTGATGTGACATTATGGTGTAAAAGCAGATCTTATTTTATAGAATCTTTTAGGCTGGGTGACCCGGATAAAGATACTAGCAGCTTTGGTTCTGGTGAGGACAACTGTCCTGCAAATATGATGCTCTTGACACTCTGTCCTAAGCAAATGCACATATAAAGATTAGAACACTTGAATTTTTGACCATGACCAATCCATCTGTCAGAGTAATTACAGTAGAATTGATGATAATCTGGATTGGAGGCTTTTCCCTTAAAGATCCTTGTGCCTTTCATGCAGGTTTCAATCCAAAAACTACCAATATGTTCTGGCCTTGGTTTTTGCTATTGAGGAGATCAACAAGAACACCCATCTTTTACCCAACATGACATTGGGATTTGATCTCTATAATGTCATGCACAGTGACATGATGGTGATGGAGAATCCCTTCATCTGGCTTGCGGGAATGGAAAAGTATGTTCCCAATTACACGTGTAGGAAACAGAGCAAGTCTGTAGCCGTAATATCAGGAACAAGCATTGCTGCCCAAATGGGGACACTCCTGGAACTCTACAAAATTCCACAGGTGAGTGTGTAAGGGAGAGGGAAAAAGCACATCACCTTAGGCGCCTTACTTAGACCCAAAAGTTTAAGTGACAGAGACCTTATATATTTCACACAGTGCATATTCTAAGGAGAAGGTGTGCAGAGATTTGGTGAAGTAGCCACATTTGTTCTAAAGTGATGTGGGTGAGTGATAATGAGAAATGTTTTCCTCAACCTGTGAGTCTAATGACTCATGAACTAGGAAGTTTATATGTAATGGGAGATGAGAAAAATGAAATATTCTAAAATCTTCTGATCCATCCATCATTTGTTTAATTTCTTCAGAAATAAGATTATTCACTATAGCAATAACCTTACACAGATTTCTTGCCTTTTCCCTTAGCTGACTCTTGGATCTTTTGAACCTCTTCTGAGTGACAGTGCTCAGTTTCCTTCTGTCTATCAGATGGCCCCCAAAGACACTTCTCTGGCCCATGGCATGGTCTCCTTGATGCTTCATTTCAGCTGGACCTGGGTGGGTTTGGCCATCTCAGACCTCCCAAAAGGTATTCAGTTTATGTCTGATTTGAAAGTCGAGATGCAGAAGAATGGCATCTGTGTAGACTTTGTGGAATTCATCCCAGTCACTGAGGAGTCACATAATTCATTCCAGAGGCTGTATCATATCCAGATCCTAAAATCATCAGCAAATGTGGTGATTCTTTTCTGTGACACTGATTCACTCATAGGTGTCAGCTTTCCAACATGGGAACGTGTAATGACATGGAAAGTCTGGGTCACCACCTCACAATGGGATTTTGCCAGCGATGAGCATCATATCCTGCTCCACTCATTCCATGGGACTCTCATTTTTTCACACCACCATAGTGAGATCTCTGGTTTCAAAAACTTTCTTCAGACAGTTAACCCTTCCAAATACCCAGAAGACTTTTACCTCTCTACATTCTGGTCACTACATTTTGATTGCTCAGTTACTGGGCCATCCTGCAAAACCTTGAGAAACTGTCCACTGAATGCCTCCTTGGAATCCTTGCCTTTTCATCATTTTGATATGAGCATGAGTGATGGGAGTTACAACATATACAATGCTGTGTATGCTGTGGCCCACAGTGTACATGAGATGCTTCTACAAGAGTTAGAAATGCAGCCAGTGAGCAGTGGGTCAAAGGTGGAATTTTCTCCTTGGCAGGTAATTTGGTTTCCTTTGCATGACTTGTATTATTGGAATGATCCCCTTAAAAGCTTCTGCGGGTTTTCAAACCAATAACTTGGGATCCTTCCTTCAATCACAAGATATAAATGAGCCTTTTTTGTAATTTGTGATTAGAAACAGGGTTCCATTTTCAAGTGGGAAGGTAACTTGGATAAGCATCAGTGCTGTGTCTTAAAAATTACTCTCCCATCCTGACAATTTAATTATGACTTGTGAATACCTAGACTGTGTCATTCCATTTTCAATCTAAGCAGTAAAGAAATTATTACTTTTTAGTGTCAAATGTTGCTGAGTATGCTCATCCACAATGTACATAAGACATCTCATTAAATTGCATACTATTTTATTCTGGTAACTGCATTACAGATGGTTGTCCTAGGGACACTGGGAAAATAAGTGAGTGTTGGTAACGTGGACCACATTTTGAAACTGTCATAATTTCACAGTTAGATATTTTTGATTGCCCTTGTTTTTGGATGAACGTGAGTGAAATCACACTTATTTTGATGTAGTCCTCATCAGGTTTTTAGTTTTAATTCATTGGGTGGCTATAAAAAGTTCCCTTTGTTTATTTGTGATTACAGACAAAAGGCTTTCTCTAACCTGGGTTTGATGTGTTATTGCTTGGGCAGTCTTCATGAGAATATGATGCATTTTTTCAGTTGCACCCATTTCTCAAGAACCTCCAACTTACCAATCCTGCGGGTGACCTAGTGAATTTGAATCACATGAGGAATTTGGAAGCTGAATATGACATTCTCAACTTTCTGAATTTTCCATATGGTGTTGGACATAAGGTTAAAGTAGGACAGTTTTCCCCGTATGTTCCACAGAGCCAACAGTTGTCTCTCTCTGAGAATTTGATAGAGTGGGCCACAGGAATTACAGAGGTAAGTTGGTCTGATCATAAGATTCACACTATACATTGTTACCCTCCAATTAATATGGGGATTTGTGCAACTTGGCTTATTATAACATACTTAGAGACATTAAACCACACCCCTCCCAATCTAAATACTTTGTTATGTTTTTAGTGTCTGAGGATGGACAGTACACACACTTGTTCCTCCACATGTTTTGAATCTTTTTATTTAGGAAATAAACTTGCATGTCATGATTGTGTCAGAAATAGGTGTTTACAGTTTCAGTGAATAGGTTGTGCAGGACTTGAAAACCCTCTACTTGGAACAGAAGTAACATTCCCAATATGACCAATATTCATTTGATTTTTCTCAGACTCCACGTTCAGTATGCAGTGAGAGTTGCAGCCCTGGATTCAGGAAAGCCCCTCTGGAGGGGAAGCCTACCTGTTGTTTTGATTGCACACCTTGTTCTGAGAATGAGATTTCCAATCAGACAGGTATGTCAGTGCCAGCTTCATGGAGAAATTAACACCTGTTTCTTAGAATTTCCTCTTCTCCATGAAAAGAAAAGGATGTGGATTATGACTGCTGAGAAGATTCTTTTCATCTTCTGGTGGAAGTTAAACCTTATATTCAGTAATAATCCCTAAAAGGATAAAATTTTGCACACTATACTTTACCACATGTAGTATTTGCAAAATCATTTAGGTAAATTCATGTCTGCATTCCTTGTGTGTGTTTAGATAAAATGCTTTCACCAAATTCAAATATAGCATGCTTGCAGTGAGAAAGCACAACTCTCATCAAACTGTGTGTAAGACGAAAAGCTGTATTAGAAATTATATAGTATATCATGCTAAGGATAACACTCATCAGATATCATAAATGAGCTAAGCTTAGCCTTTGAGAAAAATCATTGCTTATGAAAATATATATCTTCAGGAACATTCCTATGCATACACACATACACTCATGAGTAAAATTTATTTCAAAATAATACATGCTGACATGCATGGTAAAAAGAATGCATAGCAAGGTAGGTTAATGACATCAAATTCAACACAAACCCTTGAAGATAGGATGTGGACATTATAAGGAAACTGAGGTAAATAAAAATTGGAAGAGCTTATAGGTGGTGCTCATAAAACAAGCAAAATTTATGAACCTCAGAAAGTTGGAACAGTACTAAAAACAAGATTACAATGTCTGTGTGTGTTACACAAAGAGAGCTGAAGAGATCTCTGCACAGATATAAAAATAGTAATACTAGAACTTTTTAATCATTTAATGGTGATAGTTTGAATAGAGAAGAAATTCAGAAATTTCCAGATATAAAAATGATGAAATACATTGAGAAATTTTTAAAAAATTCAAGTATCTTGAAGATTATTAAAATAATGCTTAATACTTTTATTGTGATAAACACTTTCACATAGGAAAGGAACTCTTTCTCAACTCCTGTACAGAATAGGAAAAATGGAAAAATTCTGTTTCTTCTACAGAAACATCTTAACTTGTTTGGTCAAATACTGCCAGATATTTCAGTAAAATGAAATTGTAAGACACTGTTGTTGAAATAAATTCACACATTTGAAATTTTAAACAACATAAATCCAACAGTATTTTTAAATAGGTTACATCATGCCCAATGCCTTGCATACAATAATAGTAATAAGAATAGCATAACTGAACAAAAACATTTAACAAATCTAAGTGATCTGAGAATTATACAAGAAGAACAAGACAACTCAAAAATGCCAAAAAGAAGGATCAGTTTTCAATCCTAAAGTGTGCTTTAGAATGCTAAAATCATGGAAGTTATGGCTGAAGATTGGATACAAAGTTGAAGAAAGAGTGCAACTTATGCAGGAAATTACCCAGGATGGTCTGCTTTGTGCATATAATAGAAATGAAAGCCATGCAACTTATTATAAAGGAAGATATAAAAGTGGCATCATTTTCAACTAATCTTGGGATGGTGTAATACAATCAAAAATCAGTAACTGAGTTAAGTAGTGCTGGAATACTAGATTAAATACAAAAAAAAAAACGGTTATTTTTGCTTACCAATTCTGGAAAACAAAGCTCTGAAAATGAGCACATGTAATATCTCAAAAGTAGGAACTATCCAAAGATAAGACCACCTAAATTTTGGAAGACATCTTCAAGTTGCAATATCTGACATCGATGGAGCAATGTATAGAAGGGGATACTGACAGAGAAAGAAAATTCATGTTCAAGGATAAAAAGGCAGCAAAGTGGAACTATGCCAGTAGGGTTCAAGGTGATCTCCAGACTGACTTTGATTACAGGCAGCATCCCAGTGTGTTCCTTGATGGAAATCTGCTCAAGGGTGGCATCTTATCCAGAAGGTATCAAGTGTACAACTCTTCTGCATTTCTCTAGAACTTGACCATCTGCTTTCTAATGGTGATCTCTCAATCAGTGCTTGCCCATAGAATGGCTATCCAGATCCTACCTTAGAGAGATGTGGTTTAGTGAGATAACAGGGTACTTTCTGTGCACCCCAAATTCACACAGTAAATATCCCAGTGCATGAAATTAAGAGTGGGAACCTGGGCCAGTACTGTGACTAGGAGTCGAAGCCTCTGGCTGGAATGCCAGCATCCCAGTTGGGCTGCAGTTCCAGTCTCAGCTGCTTCACTTCCAATGCAGCTCTCTGCTGATGCTTAGGAAAGCAGCAGAAGACAGCCCAAGTTTCTGAGTCCACACCATGTAGGAGACCCAGAAGAAGCTCCCATTTATTGCCTTAAGACAGCCTAGTTCCAGCTATTACCATCATTTGGGGTGTGAATCACTGGTGGAAGATTTCTTCCTTTCTCTTTTTCCCTCTTTCTCTTTCCCCTTCTCTTTTTCCCTGTCCTCCTGTCCTTCTCTCTCTCCCTCTCACTCTCCCTCTCTCCTACTTCTCCTCCTCCTTCCAAAACTCTGCCTTTCATTAAATTATAAATAAATAAATAAATAAACACTCCTTAGAAATAAAACTGGGATCCTTTGGTCATTAAGAGGGCCATGAGAATCCAGAAGGAATAACACCATTAAAACAAGGGCTTACTGCAGGCATAAAAAGCCAAGACTCTGGCAAAAAATAGCCTCCATGGAGGATCTCCGTGAGACCTAAATGGAAAGAAATGGTCATCAAAGAAGAATATACTCTTCTCAGAAGGGAGGAGAGAACATCCAACTGCTTATGGCAATGTCCAAATATTGATGGCAGCCCATGTCAAGAGCCTCGGCTGATCACTGATGTCATACATAAGAGTGTTAATTGTTAAAGGAATAACAGAGTCACCGTGCATTTATTCCCCATGTAGGAACTCCATCCATAATGAGTTGTGCTTTGAGAATTGACTGCAATTTTTCCCCAAACTCTATTCTATATGTAGTTTGTCTTCATGGATGCAAACTGTTCAAATCTATGCTTAATATGGAGTTGGTCTTCTATATTTAAAATCAAACTAAAAATGAACCATAATAAAGAAGGAGATGGGAGAGGGGGAGGGAGGTGGGATGAGAGTTGGGATGGGAAGGTGGTTTTAGGGGAAGGAACCCCTATATTCCCAAAGTTCTATCTATGAAAAAAGCATTAGTTAAAAAAAGTTGAATTATGAAAGAATGTATTCATTAAGAAAACAAGGACTGCTGCTTGCTCTTGTTCAAAGTGAGGATGCAGCAAGCATGTGCAATGTATAAAGGTCAGAGTAGTCTTTACCACACATAGAAACCCCTGGCATCTTGATCATCACTTCCCAATCTGAAGAAACCGTGAAGAATGAATTTGTGGTGTTAAAATGAAACAGGTCAAAAAGGTAGGTTTTTAAAGTACCATGAGTAGGTTCAGAGAGTAGCCCTTAGTACTTTGTTAGGACAAAAAGAGCATGTACTCATGAGTATGTAAGGTACTTAGGGAGATGGAGTAATAACTCTGGCTAACATGAGGAAGATGGGCATGAATAATGGCCAATAATTTGTAGATGTCATCTTATATGCTATTTCAACACCAAATAAGGACTACTTGCTTAAACTGGCTAAGTCGGGTCCTTGTGAATCAGGAAATTGGGATGATGTTATTGTATGTTTCTCACTAGATATGGACCAGTGTGTGAAGTGTCCAGATCTTCAGTATGCCAACACAGAGCGAAACCAGTGCTTCCACAAAAGAGTGACCTTTCTGTCGTTTGAAGATGCCCTGGGGATGACCCTGGTCTGCACAGCTCTGTGCTTCTCTGTCCTCACCGTTGTTGTCCTTGGGGTCTTTGTGAAGCACCGAGACACTCCCATAGTCAAGGCCAACAATCGTTGTCTCAGCTACATCCTGCTCATCACCCTCATCTTCTGCTTCCTCTGCTCCTTAGTGTTCATTGGTCGTCCCAACAAAACCACCTGTGTCCTCCAGCAGACCACATTTGGAGTGGTATTCACTGTGGCTATTTCCACTGTCCTGGCCAAAACTATCACTGTGCTTCTGGCCTTCAGGGTCACTGGCCCAGGGAGAAGAATGAGACACTGGCTGATATCAGGGTTACCTAACTCCATTATTCCCATCTGCTGCCTGATCCAACTGGCTCTCTGTGGCTTCTGGCTTGGGACTTCTCCTCCCTTTATTGACACAGATGCACACTCTGACCATGGCCACATCATCCTGGTGTGCAACAAGGGCTCGGTCACTGCCTTCTACTGTGTCCTGGGCTACCTGGGTTCCTTGGCCCTGGCCAGCTTTACTGTGGCTTTCCTAGCCAGGAATCTGCCTGACACCTTCAATGAAGCCAAATTCCTGACATTCAGCATGCTGGTGTTTTGCAGTGTCTGGGTGACCTTCTTGCCTGTCTACCACAGCACCAAGGGGAAGGTCATGGTGGCTGTGGAGGTCTTCTCCATCTTGTGCTCCAGTGCAGGGCTCCTGGGCTGCATCTTTGTTCCCAAGTGCTACATTATTCTCTTCAGACCTGAGAAGAATGCTTTGAAAGGATTCAGGGATAGAATAATTTCCAAGGAAACAGATGTTCTCAGGAATAGCTCTTAGGCTCTCTCAGTTTTCAATGGTTAGAAACTAAAATTTATAAAACTGATTTTGCATTGTGATGTTATAAAATAACTTGCAGCATGTGACCTCCTTATGAACAATTTATACTTTTCTTAAAACATTTTTGTTCTGAAGGACCAATCCACAGAAAATGAAGAGAGAGTGGGATAAACCTTCCATCTTGTGATGGAATGTGAAGATATCTGTAGTGGGCCAGTGCTGGTTCATGCCAAAGCAAGGAGGTTAATTCAGGTGTCCATGTGAGTACCAGGGACGGAAAGGCTTAGGCCATCTTCCAGAGCCTTTTCTAGATCTTAACAAGGAGCTGAGTTGCAAGTGGAGCAGACAGGCCATGAACTCGCACCAACATGGGATGTTAGGTTTACAGGTGGTGGTTATATCCACTACACCCTCATGGTGGTCCTAATCCTCCTCCTTCAAAATAATACTGTGTACTAATTTCTTAGCCTGGGTTTTATGTTCATAAGCACAAACCCATCTCATTTCTTTTCAATCCTGTATTTTCATTGTCAACTCATTGACCTTGTTATCTTCCTATTTTGATAAAATGAATTACACATTTGGTTGCTACTTTTAATCATTCATTGGAGTCTATACTAAAATCAGCTTAGTAATATAGTTGGAATATTTCAGTGCAATCATTAGACATGTTGTCATTATAATATGTATAATTCATTGTCCAGAAACTCCTTAATTATATATCATTTCATATGAATTTCAAATGATGTGATACACACCAAGATTTCATTATATGTAGAAGTGATTCTGCAAACTTTTCCATCTGTTCATTTTGTTTATTATAAATTTTGCTTTGATTTTCTTTTGCCAGTGCCAGACATAAGAAGTTTCTATTTGATGTAATCCCAATTGTTAATTTTCGCTTTGAATGCCTGTGACTCTGGGCTCTTTTCCAAGAATTCTTTGCCTGTGCCTATATCTTGCAGGGTTTCTCCAATGTTCTCCAATTATTTGATGGTGTTGGGTCATAGATTTAGATCTTTAATACATGTTGAGTGGATCTTCGTGTAAGGTGTAAGATAGGGGTCTTGCTTCATGCTTCTGCACGTGGAAATCCAGTTTTCCCAGCACCATTTGTTGAATAGACTATCCTTGCTCCAGGCATTGGTTTTAGATCCTTGATCAAATACAGGTTGGCTGATGATGTTTAGATTGATTTCTGGTGTTTCTATTCTGTTCCATTGGTCTACCCATCTGTTTCTGTACCAGTACCATGCTGTTTTGAATATAACAGCCCTGTAGTATGTCTTGAAATGTGGTATTGTGAAGCCTATGGCTGTGTTTTGTTGTACAAGATTGCTTTAGCTATTTGAGATATCCTGTGTCTCCATATGAATTTCAGCATCATTTTTTACAGATCTGTGAAGAATGTCTTTGGTATTTCGATTGGTATGGCATTGAATCTATAAATTGCTGTTGGGAGAATGGACATGTTGATGATACTGATTTTTCCGATCCATGAGCATGAAAGATTTCTCCATTTTTTGGTATCATCTTCTATTTCTTTCTTTAAGATTTTGGAATTCTCATCATAGAGTTCTTTAACATCCTTGGTTAAGTTTATTCCAAGGTGTTTGATTATTTTTGTGGCTATTGTGAATGGGATTGATATTAACAGTTCTTTCTCAGCCATGTCATTGCCTGTGTATACAAAGGCTGTTGATTTTTGGGCATTGATTTTATATCCTGCTACTTTGCCAAACTCTTCTATGAGTTCCAATAGTCTCTTAGTAGAGTTCTTTGGATCCTCTAAGTAAAGAATCGTATCATCTGCAAAGAGGGATAGTTTGACTTCTTTCTTCCCAATTTGTATCCCTTTAATTTCTTTTTCTTGAAGGTACCTTTCTCTGAAGGGAGGAGAGAACTTCCACTTTGACTATGACCTTGTCTAAATATGATCAGAGTTGGTGAACTCAAAAGGCTTCAATAGCCTTGGTGACTCATGACAAGAGCCTAGGGTGATTACTGATGCCACAAAAAAGAATGTCAATTTGTTAAGTCAACAACAGGAGTCACTGTGCACTTACTCCTCATGCAGGATCTCTGTCCTTAATGTGCTGTACATTGGGATTTAATGCTATAACTAGTACTCAAACAGTCTTTTTCACTTTGTGTTTCTATGTGGGTGCAAACTGTTGAAATCTTTACTTTATATATGCTAAACTGATCTTCTGTATATAAAGAGAATTGAAAATGAATCTTGATGTGAATGGAAGGTGGGGGAGAGGCAAAGGGGAGGGATGCGGGTGGGAGGGAAGTTATGGGGGGGAAGCCATTGTAATCCATAAGCTGTACTCTGGAAATTTATATTCATTAAATAAAAGTTAAAAATTTTCTTTTTCTTGCCTAATTATTCTGGCTAAAACTTCCAGAACTATATAGAAATGCAGTGGTGAAAGTGGGCATCCCTATCTGGTACCAGATCTCAGTGGAAATGCTTCCAACTTTTCCCCATTCAATAGGATGCTGGCCATGAGTTTTCATAAATTGATTTGATTGTACTGAGGAATGTTCCTTCTATACCCAATTTGCTTACAGTTTTCTTCATGAAAGGGTGTTGTATTTTATCGAATGCTTTCTCTGCATCTGTTGAGATAATCATATGTTGTTTTTGCAGTTTGCTACTGTGGTGTATCACATTGATTTATCTGCAAACATTGAACCATCATCCCTGCATACCAGAGATAAATCCTACTTGGTCTGGGTGGATGATCTTTCTGATGTGTTGTTGCATTCTATTGGCCAGATTTTATTGAGGATTTTTATGTCTATGTTCATCAGAGATATTGGTCTGTAATTCTCTTTCTCTGCTGCATCTTTTTCAAGTTTAGGAATTAAGGTGATGCTGGCTTCATAGGAAGTATTTGGGAGGATTCCTCTTTTTTGATTGTTCTGAATAGTTTGAGAAGAATTGGAGTTAGTTCTTTAAATGTCTGGTAGAATTTAGCAGTGAATCCATCTGGCCCTGGGCTTTTCTTTGTTAGGAGGGACTTTATTGCTTATTCAATTTCTGTCTCAGTTATGGGTCTGTTTAGATTTTCTATGTCTTCATGGTTCAATTTATGCAGGTGGTATGTGTCCAGGAATCTATCCATTTCTGATAGATTTCCCTGTTTACTGGTATACAACTCTTTCTAATAATTTCTGATGACTCTTTATTTCTGTGGTGTCTGTTGTTACATTTCCTTTTTCATCTCTGATTTTATTGATTTGGGTCCTTTCTCTTCTTTTTTTAGTTAGTTGGTCCAATTGTGTGGCAATTGAGTTTTTATTCAAAAAGCCATCCATTCATTTTGCTGATCTTTTGTATTTTTTTGATTCAATTCTGTTGATTTCTTTTCTAATTTTAATTATTTCTCTTCTCCTAATAGTTTTGCATCTGGTTTCTCTAGTTTTTCTAGATCCTTGAGATGCATTGGCTCTCATTATTTGGTCCCTTTCCAATTTCTTGATGTAGGCACCTATTGCTATAAACTTTCTTCTTAACACTCATTTTGCTTTATCCTGTAATTTTTATATGTTGTGTTGTTATCCTCATTAACTTCCATAAAGTTGTTGATTTCTGTTTTGCTTCTTCTATGACTCACTGTTCATTTCAGAGCATGTTGTTCAGTCTCCATGTGTTTGCATGTGATCTAGGGATTCCTGAGTTGCTAATTTCCAGCTTCATTCCTTTGTGGTCTGAAAAGATACATGGTTTGATTTCGATTCTTTTTAATTTTCTGAGACTTGCTTTATGGCCTAGTATGTGGTCAATCCTAGAGTAGGTTCCTTGTACAGCTGAGAAGAATGTGTATTCTTTAAGTATAGGATGAAAAGTTATGTAGATATATGTTGGATTCAGTTGGTCTATAGTGTTTATTAAATCTGCTGTTTCCTTGTTGATCTTCTATCTGATCGATCTGTCTATTTCTGAGAATGGAGTATTGAAGTCCCCCTATACTACTGTATTGGAATGTAAGTCTTCTTTTTAAGTTCCTAAACATATCTTTTAAATAACCTAGTGTCCTGTGATTAGGTACATGTACTTTTATAATAGTTACATCTTCCAATTAGTGTTGAATTGAACACTTAAGCATTATATACTGCCCCTCTTTGTCTCTCTTAACAGGTTTTTTGTTAAAGTTTATTTTGTGTGATATTAAGATGGCTATGCCAGCTCTTTTTTGGTTTCTGTTGGCATAGAAACACTTTTTCCAACCTTTCACTTTTAGTCTGCATGCTCCTTTGTTGGAAAGATGTGCTTTTTGCAAGCAGAAAATTGATGGGTTTTGTTTTTTAATCCAGCCAGCCAGTCTATGTCTTTTAATTGGAGAGTTGAGGCCATTTACATTCAATGTGACTATTGATAAGTAGTGACTTTGCCCTGTCATTTTTTCCAAAGATATTTCTAATAAATTCTTTGAGCTTCCTGTGATCTTTTACTGATCGATTTTCTTCCTTTACCTTTTTGTATCACTGGCCATGTATCTATGTTTCTGTGTGTAACAAATCTTTAGGCATCTTTTGCAGGGCTGGATGAATGGTGACAAATTCTTTCAATTTTTTTTTTTTTTGCTATGAAAGGTCTTTATTTCACCTTCATTAACAAATGAGAGCTTTGCAGGATATAATACTGTGTAGTGGCATTTTTTTCTCTTAGTACTTGGGCTATATCATGGCATTCCCTCCTAGCCTGTACTGTCTGCTGAGAAGTCTGCTGTTAGTCTAATTCGAGATCTTCTAAGAGTAATCTGATGTTTCTCTCTTGCCCATTTTAGAAACTTTTCTTTATGTTTCACTGTGGTGAGCTTGATAACAACGTGTTATGATGAAGCTCTCTTTTGGTCTGTTTATTGGGATGTCTATGTGCTTCCTGTACTTGGATTTCTCTTTCCTTCTGCAAACCTGGGGAATTTTCTGCTAGTATCACATTAAAAAGGCCTTCTAATCCTTTCTCTCTCCACACCTTCAAGAACTCCCTGGACCCAAATGTTGGGTTTTTAATAGTATCATGTATCAATATTTTTTAGATTTCTTATTTCCTCTTCTTTCCTTTGGTTTGACTATATACTTTCCTGTGCTCTGTCTTCTAAGTCAGATATTCTCTATTCTGCCTCACTGATTTTATTTTTAAGGCTCTCAAATGTGTTTGTTTGTTCTATTGAATTCTTCATTTCATTTTGATTTCTCTTCAGTATTTCAATTTCACGTTCTACTGAATTCCTCGTTTCATTTTGATTCCTCCTTAATATTTCATTTTCATAAGAGAGATTTTCTGTCATGTCCTGCTTGGGTTTCTGTAGTTCATGCATTTGCTTATGATAATTTCTAAATGTTCTTATCATAAAATTTTCAATTGCATATTTTGCAATCTTCTCTTTCATCATATCATAATCATGTACTGGAGTGTCATGTTCATTTGGGAGCGTCATGATGTTTTCCTTGTTTCTTGTTGGCATTGTGGAGATATTCTTTGCATTTTTCTTCTTTTTTTTTGTTTTTTGCTCTGGTGGCTTTTCTTGCGATACTATGACTCTAGATTAAGTGAACTGTCTTCTTTTGTGAATCTCTAGAGGCTTGTGGCCTCATCAAGACATTTCTTTTGACTAATCTTAGAATGTTGGTGTGACACTGCATCTCCTCATAGAAGAAAAGAGAGGGTATTTGTTATACCTCCTGTCCTCCATTCTCCAATTTGATCAGTTTGAAAAAACACTGTCTCCCGGCCCAGGCACTGAAATGAACATCCTTGTGTTTACTTGAGTTCTTCTACATGTGCTGATCAACTTTTCTACCTGGCACTTGATTTGGGGACCATAAGAATGCATTTTAAAAAATCCCCATTGAAAATAAAAGATAGGCCAAGAAAGAAAATGTTTCAGTTCATAAGTAATAATTTGGTGTTTAGACAACTGCAAAAATATATAGATATTTGAAATTTGTGGTTATTCTGCCTCCTCCTCTCTTAGGTTTGCATTCGTAGTAAAATATGATATTTTTCTTCCATGTAACTACCTTTATATTTAATTTAGACCTAAATATATCTTTGAGGTCTAGCATAATTTTATTATCATACCAATTTCTGAAGGTTTCTGACTTTCAAACTGACTTCTACTTTAATAATCCAGTTAGTAAGAAGGCAGTACATAGATCTTTGATAGAAGATAGATATTAGGGCATCGTTCTTTGCATTATGATTTTTTATTATTTGACAGGTAGAATTACAGACAGTAAGAGAGAGAGAGAGAGAGAGAGAGAGAGAGAGAGAAAGGTCTTCCTTCCATTGGTTCACTCCCCAAATGGCTGCTACAGTCGGCATTGAACCGATCTGAAGCCAGGAGCCAGGTGCTTTTCCCTGGTCTCCCATGTGTGTGCAGGGGCCCAAGCACTTAGGCCACCCTCCACTGCCTTGCCAGGCCACAGCAGAGAGCTGGACTGGAAAAGGAGCAACCAAGAATAGAACCTGGCACATATATGGTGTGCCGGCACCACAGGCAGAAGATTATCCAAGTGAGCCATGGCACTGGCCCCTGCATTATGGTTTAAGCCAATGGATTCTGAGAAT